AAACAACTGAGCCATATCAGTCAGGGCACAAAAGTTTTCTTGAATGAATTAAATTCACATGTGGCTTATTTTTATTCCCCTGCTGTTAAGGCAAAAAGTTGGGATTGTATATTTAATAACACATGTAAATGTAATTATGTTTTTCCTAAATCAAGACACTGAAAAGGGGAAAAAATGGGCTTTGTAAGAATGAATCAACATGAGGGCAAGGCTACTTAGTCTATGCTCTATTACAAGTCAAGATCAGAAGTATCAAAAAAATCTTTAAATGTATTGCCAGTGAGGCAACACTCATAGAAAAATGGATGTAGTACTATCCTGCCATGGACATAGTGTTTTATCCTAAAAATAACATATAGAGGAAAAATGCACAATGCAATAGACCAGGGGTGTCAAACTTACTTTTCCCAGGCTGATATGGCCCCCAGTGAAAATGAGTTTGACGCTCCTGCAAAAGACCATTGATCTTATGGGAAAGTAGAACAAACGATGCCACTAAAATATTTCAATTAATGTAGTGAAACAAAATGCATAGCTTTTTAAAATTTTAAAAGAATTTGGGTGAAGTATAAAGAATAGGGAAGAAAATGACGACAAAGGGAAGCTATATGAATAGCAACAAATAATGAAGACAGGGAATAAATAAGAGAAAAAGAATAACCCTGAGGGATACAAAACGGACACTGTACTTAGGATAATGATTGAGTGACATTATGTGATACATATATGAGTTCTGAGAGAAATGGGGGAGAGAATTATTAGTGTGAGGAGAAGAACACTGAAAATGTGGAGACAAAGAGATCTTGTCACAGACCCAGTTGTCTCAAATCCTGTTTTGAAACCAAATGTGGAATATCAACAAATTAAATAAAATCTTTAATATGGTTGTAATCAGAATCCTTTGAAAAATATAATGGGGATTGATACCAAACATATTTTTAGTAGACTGTACCCAATGGGAGACTGTATCTCTATCAATTTTAGCAAGCACAGTAAGATACATCTAAGAGAATGCTTTTGGGTTTATGCCCTTGCCACGCAAAAATACCAGTTTCAGAAATGCCAGTATTGATCAAACCATTGGAAATGCAGCATGATTCAGAATTGTTAGAGTTTAGATGGACTGCTTTGGATTCTTAGGGATGCAGGGCCAGGTACCTGGTATGTCCCTCCTTTACTATCTGAGGCCAGTTCAGAGTTGGAATGGGTGGTAATTAAAACCAAGACTGGAGACAGATGGGCTGATGACTAGAATCATGCCATTTATCGTTTTAATTTTACCAAGTGGTAAATTTACTTAATATTTCTCAGAAAGAAAAAAAATTAGGTGTCTTTATCATTTGTAATTGTATAAAAGAACCAAAACGATACTTGAAAATATGAAGCTACAAATCTAACATCACAGAGTGCTTGCTTCCCTGGCACCACCTCCTTGAAATACAATCCCTCCTTCTAAAATGAAGTGATTGACACTAATGAATTATCAGAGCTAATAAAGAAAATAGTCTGATCAAATCAGCATTGTCACTTTTTCAAAGAACAGGAAGAAAGTCTGCCAAAAACCATTTTACATTTAGTGAGACAATTGGGCAGTGGCAACAAGCCACAGTGTTCAAAATTATGTTTCCTGCTGATTCTGGCTTGCACTAAATGCATGTGTACATAGCCAGATCAGATGAGAATGAATTTTTCTTTATTTGGCCATTTGTAGTCTTACAATACTTCAAAGAATGAATCATTGGGAGTCTGACAAAGAAAAATAGCAGATATCAAACAAAAGGCATCCAAATTGTACAGTCATTAATGATTTTGAAGAGCCATCTTTTACATTTAAAGAATGGTTAAAGTGAAAAACAGTAAACTTAGTAAGTTTATTAACTGGTCATTCTTTAATTCTGGCTCAATGGGGTGATGGTCTTTACTTTTCACACTTTCTTTTTCCCATACAAACTAGTACTTACTGCCTTCTATGGAAATGTTTGTATATAACTTTCTTCACATGTGTATCTGAAGCATATTTGTTTTATTTATCAGTTACCATTTATACTACATCTCCATGTACCACATATATTCATTCTCCAACTATTATGTGTTTGGCATTGACCAAATATTAAAAGCCAAGGTCACTCAGTCAAACTGAGCTCTCAAGAATCATCCAATAAATCAACTCAAACAAATTATTCACTGAGAAATTATCCTTCTTTCTGGTGGTTGTGGGAACTGTGGAGAATGGTCTGCTGCTACTGTAAACTAGTGTAATCAATAAACAAGATGGCTGTTTGTCAAGGGGTGAAATTTACACCATTGAAAATATAATTGGGTTTCAGAGACCTACATACTTAAACTCTTTGCAAAAAGGGGAAACAGTATTTTATAGTTTATCCCTAAAGTTCACGTTTTTTAAAATGTAATTGAGAACTAAAAACTCATCGCTGGTATCATGACAAAATTTTAAAAATACATGTATGTCAACAATTTAAGCTTGTATTCAGTAGTCAAATTATATGTTTCATGTAGCTGCAGAATTCTATTTATCTAAGGAAAACATTTAGTATGGTAACTAAAATTAAAACTGAAATATTTATTTAGTTGTTTTTAAGTGGTGTCCATTATTTACACATTAGCATATTCAAGTATCTTATTTTAGAAATAGGTTATAACCAAAGTAGTTAAAATAGAGGAGGTGTACCAAACTGCCTACAGTTTAGCAAACATTTGAATAATCTTTGACTATGTGCAGAGCAAGTAAGTTTGAGTTGTGATTACTAAAATATAAAAACTCTGCATGGCTTAATGGTGACATATTATATATTTTTTGATAAAATATTTATTCCTAAGTCATGGTAAAGTAAATGTTTTGCCTTTTCTGTTGTTGTTGTTGCATTTTGTTTTGCTTTGCCTTGTTCTTTCTAACACCCAGTACATCCCAAGTCTGGCTGCATGTTTCTGAGTGAAAGTGACAGGAAGACCCAAGGAGTTTCACATCAAAAGAAAGAAAACTCAAAATTAACTAACAATCAATGAAAAATGCATTCACCAAAACTGAAGCAGTCCAATATAACAAACAGCAAGGAACCCAAATGTCGCTGGGTCGTCCACTGGGGACCTTTGGATTTTAGGAAGAGGTTCACATAGACTTAGTGATATCAGGCCTGCAGTGAAACTCTTAGTAGCAAACTTTTTGTCTACATGTAATTTTCCAGGGAGAGAGAACATACTTTACTTCTGATTTTGAAAGGAATCTCTACCCCAAAGCAAGAATAATATAATTCTAACAATTATTAGGCCATCATTTGACCTTCAGAAGTAGACTATGTGACTTGAGACACATATAATAGTTATAATGCCAAAATATTGTTTATTTATGGATTAAAAAAATAAACTCAATTGTTTAAATTATAATAGAGCTTGGTATTTAAAATTATAATAGTACTGATACTGTTGTTTTTGCTGATTTTATTTCTTTAATTTAAAATAATATTCTTCATGTCATTATTACAAATGTGATCTATGTTTATCATAAAAAATCTGACTTAGAAAAGCAATTTCTAAAGCATTTATAATTCTATCATGCAGTTCATATTTCACAGTATATTTTCGAGGCTCCTTCCTATGAAGGACGGTTATTCTCTTATAGATGAATACATCTTTATGTTATAAAATAATAATCTCCTTTTGTTCTCTAAAAGTTTTAAGTTTTATACACAGTGCCAACTAAATTCTCTTAAGTGTAAAAATTAGAACAGTCTACAGAAGTAAAATAGATGCTTAAAAGAAATCCTTGCAGAAAAGATTACACTAATATTTAGAGAATATTTTGTCCTTTATTTATACCTGTTCTTATTTTGCAAAATGTTATATACTCGGTGACTCAGAGTCTCAGCTCAAAATATTCTAAAAATAATAAATTAACAGTAGAGGGCAGGGTGATTGCTGCAGGAGTCACACTGACAACAGGGAAACAGAAGCTGACAAAAGAAGAAAACTGTATAGAAACTGACAAATACAACAAAGCAACTCAATGAGGCCACTTCGTATGGGAGCAAACAGCTCCACATAACAGCTCAATTGTTCCTGAGGTCACGGTTTTACAGCCACTATAATAAAAGTCATGAGAACAATTGTGAGGCGATGCTGTAGCATTCTCTTGGTTAAGAAGCAACCCAGGTGGTCAAAAAAGTATTAAATTTTCAGAAACTGAAAATATTTGGCTCTTTAGAAGGATCTACATACTCTCCAAACATTCCTATAGTTAGAATATCAGCTTTTGCATTGAAAAGTGAACTACAAATGACTCATAGAGGTCTGATAATAAAATGTGTGACTCAAAGAAAAGAAAGGTTCATTCTTTAATTACAAAACTGATTTTTGCATTTGTTTAATAAAGACAAGTTATAATCCCAATGAAAGTTTTATATGTAGATAATGTGGAAATGAAGATAATTATTAGAGGCTGGTAGAATTCTGCTGAAAGAGATATATTCAGATGTGAAGAAATTGAAGTAGAGATGAGGAAAATAATCTTCTTGTTATCTTTTATCTAGGATGAGCCAACACTTCAGTGAAATGAAATGGAGCCCAAACCTTATAGAAAATGAATCCCCAATGAGAAACTTCTGGACAAGTCTCGTTTGAACTAACTAAATGTTAGATAAAATGTTTAAAAAAAACCCCAAACCCCTAAACTATATTTTTCTACATGGAACCTATAAATAATAATTAATTAAAGCTTGAAATTATAATCTCTTTGATATAGAAGATGGTAGGTAGAATATTCTTTCAGACTTACAATTTGCCTTATGCTTACTCATAAGTGCACTTCATTCCTGTGGACATGGCAGCCAAAATTCTTCTAATCCCTTCTCATGATGACCCTCTACAGAGAGGGAGGGTCTGCATTACCATAGTTAGTATACTACATAACTTGATCCAATTCTTGTTAAAAATTAGTTAAACAATTTTTCATTTTTTAAGTTACTATAATTTAAATAAAAAATTACCTTTAAGGCTGTTTTGAACTTCTAAAGCTATATCGAGAGCATTAAAGGGCAGAACTGGTTCATTGGCAATTTGTAAAATCACTTCTCCTGAGAGCTGAAAGAAAAAAAAAAGGAAATGCTGGCATTCAGTATTAAGGGTTTTGTTTGCTTTTCATTATTCTATACACTCATACATCCAGAGTAGCAAAAACACAGAGGGTAAATTGTACTTTTATAAAATCTTTTTATTTTAAGTAGCTTTTAAATTGTATTTTTCTATGAAGGAAAATAAAATTCAGTATCTATTTCATGCCTCAGGGTAGTATGAATACATATATTTTTTTCTTTTATTGACCTAAAAACTAAGAAATTGCTTTGATACTTCATGTTGTAATATTTAAACCTTTAAACAATCCCTTCTAAAACAGTTTAGAATACCACACAATCAAATTAACAATAGAGAGTAACAGAAAAGTCAGTATCTGGTTATTGAACTAAGTAAAACTCCAGACAAAACGAATCATCAGTTGATTTCATTTAAAATATAATATAGTCTATAAAATTCCTTAAAAATCTTAGGCACTCTTTTCCTTTATGCTTTACTATATTACTAATTACTTTTATAAAATTTATGAAAACTAATAATTATACATCTTCAAGGTCAATGTTTAAATTAAATTTTAAAAATATAAAATTCTAAATGGCATCTCTAAACCTCATGCCTGGACAACTGTGTTTGAAAACCAACATATGCACTGCAGCTGAACTGGCATCTGCTTAATAGACTGAAGCCGTCATGTGTATTCATAGACATCTCAGAGTAACTTCAGACTGGTGGCAAGTGCTATTGTTAGTTTCTCTCTCTCTCTCAAATGACATTTAATATTTACCAGGGTTATACAGATGTCGCTACTTATCTTTAAGTCCTAAAGCTGGCACCCAGTGAAATGTGACTGGGTTCGTATTACTAGTCTTGTTAGTGAATGAAAATATTCTTGTGAAACTACACAAAAGGGAAATTAGCACTCTAATTTGAGGCAGTACAGAACACATAAGATATATAGACTACAAAGAAAATATGATGTTAAATATTCAAATCCACATATTCAACAAGGCTCAAAGTCCATTTAATATTTAGAATTTATATTTTCCAATAATTTACACGATTTATATCAAGATAAAAATGCAACTCAATTCGATCTTCTATGTGTTTAGTGAAACACAGTTCTTGAAAATAAAGAGGAAAAGAACAGTTTTGACATCCCTTTATTTCTTTGGGATTTTTTCTCCCATATACAGCAAACACTTCTTCTCCAATGCCGAAGGTATCTCTGCAGACACCTTTATCCCCAGCATAGTGATCGCAAAATTCTTGGGAGAGTGCTTATTCTGATTATGATGTTTTTCAGGAAAAAGCATTATTGGCAGTAGATTGCTATGAACCCTGTGTCTATTCCATCCCACCCCATCCAAATCATTCAAGGAATACTAATATTTGGAAATAAATTACTTGCAAAAAGGAATTTTTAAAGAAGATTAGGAAGCATTATGGTTTACTTTTCCAATTTGCACTGGATAATAGAAACTACAAAACAGACATGTTTTATTTACACTTTTGGAATCTGGAAACCACACATTACAAAAGATTAAAATGAAAGAATGGGGAGGGAGGAGAAAGGCAACTTCCCTGTGTCCTGCTGGAGAGAGCTGTTTTGTTTTGCTTTCTTAAGAGTCACTTGGCAGCTCAAACAAATAAAATATAAGCCAGTCACCTTGCTATTTCTTTCAGAAAAAACCTGGCAACAAATTCTAGGATTTCTAAGTCACCTGGCCCATGATAGACTGCTTAGACTAAATTGGCTTTATTTGCAGCTGCATAAACAAGAGGGAGATTTGTGTCTTGCCTTTAAGTGAGAAGAGATGAGAAATACTGCATACACTTCTCACATGCTTTGGTATTCAACCTTATTGTTATACCAAAGCAGCCTTCCCTTATATTTATATAAAGTGCTATTATTTTCAAAATGCTTTATACTTAAATATCTTATTTCACTATCTTGATGAGCCTAAAAACAGGTAGTGGGGGAACTATCCCCATGTTAAGGACAATGAGAATAAGTCTTGCTGGGCTCCAGTATGACGATGACGTAGGAGGCTTCTTAACTCTCCTCCTCTTATAAACACAGTGAATCTACAGCTACACATGAAATCATTCCCTCTGAAAAAAATACAAGAACTAACCGAATGATTCATAGGCTAAAGAGAAAAAACTCACATAAAAATGTATAAGAAAGTCTGAGACATACTCTAGCCATAAAACTGACTGAATTATAGAAACATAATAATCAAACATAGCTCATAACCCTTAGCTTTTTCCTGGGAAGAGAAAGGTTTGGATCCAACATCTAGTGCCCTAACTTTTAAGATTTTTATTTGAGGGACAGAACCCCAAAACTCAGTGGGATTTTTGTCCATGAGACCCACAACACTATAGCAAAAAACAGTTCTTAAACATCTTGGGAGGACCAGCTATGGCTCTCCCCTCATGGTTCAGTGCAAAGGCAGCAGGTTAAAAAAAGAAAAAGAAAAAAAAAAAAGAGACTGTATCCCAGGCTTTCTTGAACAAGGACAATCTGCATATCTTAAAATCTATAGCCTAAGGGTAAGTTTTCTAATTTAACATGCATCTAGAGGTCAGCTAAAATCCTATCTGGAGACCAGAGAAACTGGCCACACCATCTTCGTGTGCTCCCTCTGCTCTGCTCTCTGTCATTGGTGTCTCACAGAAAAAATGTTGTGCACATGTCTGGTGCCTGGCTTTTGTGGCTACCACCCAGGAGATGCATTCCTTAATCACTTGGCTATGGTGGTCAGTGGGGCTTGCTTTCACAGGGCCCACAGAATGTAGCAAAGAAAGAAACAAAAAAAACCCATTTCCTGACTGGCTCTTCCTCCAGGGCTCAATACAGAAGCAGCAAAGTGAAATGTGCATCTCCTGGCTTTTTCCCTTAAAGAAGTTTATTACATGCTTCAAAAGTTACTGCCTGAGAATTTGGCTTCCAATAAGCCAGCATCTAGGTGCTGACTGAGTCCTACCTTTGGGACACTGATCTTGGCACACTCTCAACTTCTCGGGGCCACTAAAAATACAGGAATTCAGCTTGGACAACCACAAAGTTTTGAAAGACAACTAAGAAATAAGGACGGACTGAATGGTAAGGTTCATCTCGTACAGGAAACAATTCCATCAAGAATAGGAGAGATAGCTAATTTATCTGATATACAGATTCAAACACAGAAAGTCAACGAAAATTAAAAAAAAAACAAAGAAATATGCTTTAATCAAAGAACAAGATAAAACTCTAGAAACAGAGTTTAATATAATGAAGGTAAGTGACTTACCTGATAGAGTTTAAAATAATGTTCATAAATTTGCTTACCAAGATCAGAAGAACAATACATGAATATTGTGATAATTTCAATAGTGAGATAGAAAATACAGAAACCAGAGACCTGAAAATTACAATAATTGAACTTAAAAATTAAGTAGAAGGCTTTAATATCCAATGAGGTCAATTGGAAGAAAGGATCAGCTCAATAAAAAGGCAGTGGAATTCATCCAATCAGAAAAGCAAAAAGCAAAAAATAATGAAAGAGAGTAAATGTAGCTTAAGGATCTATGGGACACCATCGGATAGATCTGTATCAGTGTTATCGATCCCAGGGAACCCAGATGGAGAAAAGAAAGAGAAAGAGACAGAAAGATTATTCAAAGAAATAATGGTTGAACATTTCCAAACTCAGGGAGAGAAACAAACATCCAGAACCAGGAATCTTAGACAGCTAAAAAAGGGAAAAAAAAAAGATAAATCCAAACAGACCCACACAAAGACACATTATAATTAAATTGTCAAAAGTTAAAGATAAAAAGAAGATCTTAAAACAACAAGGGGAAAACAGTTTGTTACCTACAGGGAATCTCCATAAGACAATCAGCAAATTGATCAACAGAAATTTTGTAAGTCAGGAGAGCTTGGAATGATATAAAGTGCTAAAAAAATGCCAATCAAGAATATGCTATCCAGCAGAATTGTCCTTTACTATTGAAGGAGCGAGTTCTCCAGACAAGTAAAAGCTGATAAAATTTACTACCACAAAAAAAAAACGATGGAGGAAATCCTTCAAGCTGAAACAAAAGGACACTAATTAGTAACAGAAAAACATATAAAATTATAAATTTTACTGGTAAACATAAGTGTATAGGTAAATTTAGAATGCTCTAATTTCTAATGGTGGTGAATAACTCTCTCATAAATATAGTATAAAGGTTAAATGACAAAGATGTTACAAGTACTAAAACCACAATAATTTTTAACAACTATACAAGGTTAAAGATGCAAAGTGGAACATCAAAACATAAAATGTGAAAGAAGTGGAAGAGTTAAAAATGTAGAGCTTTAGTATCCAATTCCACTAAAGTGTTTTTCAGCTTAAAATAGACTGCTATAAAAATATTTTATAAAAACCTCATGGGAATCACATACCTATAAAAGATGCATAAAAAATAAAGAGAAAAAACTCTAAGAATACCACTAGAGAAAATTATCAAATTATAAAGGAATAGAAGAAGAGAAGAATAAAGGCACAAAAGAATTACAAAACAGCCAGAAAATAATTAACCAAATGGTAACAGTAAGTCCAGAACCATCGGTAATTACCTAAAATATAAATGGACTAAATTCTTCAATAAAAATATATAAAATGGTTGGATGAATAAAAACACAGGACTCAATTATGTCCTGTTCACCAGACTCACTTCATCTATAAGGACAAAAACAGACTGAAAATAAGAGGATAGAAAAAGCTTTTATATAAATGAAAACTAAAAAAATGGAGAGGTAGCTATACTCGCATAAGGCAGAGACATAATAGACAAAGAAGAGCATTATTTAATGATAAAGGGATCAATCTAAGAAGAGGATATAGCACTTACAAACATTTATGATCAAACATGGCAGCATCTAAGGATGTACAGCAAATATTCACACACCTAAAGGAAGGAAAATAGACTGCAGTACCATAATAGTAGGGGACTTCTGTATCCGACTTTCAGCA